AACCGGTATATTAAATATATTAAGAAATCTAGAATGAGACATATGATTGCCAGTGCGATGGTATCACACAAACAACAAAATGTGTAGGAGAGCAAATATAATAAATATTTATAAATATGATATACTGATCGTATATCTGTAAGTAGTCATTAGCTTTTTGCGACAATTTTCATCTATGTATAAGCAGAGAACTACGAACGCAGAGAAGCGACACTCCTTTGATCTTGCGTGGGCAAGCCGCCAACGAGTGAAAATGACAGGAAAGCAACCTATTTACTAATAGTCAGTGGGCATATCACACAATATAAATTCTTAAATAAAATTGAGCATTTATGTTGACTTTCAATAAATATGAAATATTGCACTGAAAAAATAATTACATGCAGGGCCGGCTTTTGTTGACGTTCTAAATGGTCTAATTATTTTTGATTTACAAAAGGTTGCAAATACATCGCACAACGCAAAGTAATGGTGAAAATCGTATTGATGGAATCATAGATGAAAATACTTTTTTTGTTTATTCTGATGTTGGCATTGATAATACAATAATACACCGATTCTTTTTGGCTTGTGTTGATACAAGATATAATTTGTTCGTCGTGGAATTTCCTAATAAATTATCTTTCGTAATATAATCGAAAAATAACAAAGCCATTGTAACTGCCACGGAAATTTCACAAACTCTAAAAATTCCAATTCTCTTTGGGTGAGACTGAGAAACAAGAAACTTTATATTGATATCGATTGTTAATGTCTTGGAAACCTATTAAAATTACATTTTTCCTTTAAAGTCGAATATTGGAGTAAACGATATTCGACTAAAACGAATAAAAAATCAAGAAGTAACTATTGTACGAGTATATTTCTATAAATATAAAAATGTAATAACCTAAAAAATAATCAAAAAAGTATTACGAATCATTACAAGAGAGCATTAGGAAGATAAAACGAATTTATATTATTGTCATTACACATGATTCGGATATACATAGTAAATCCAGACTTTCAGTTTAAACTAATATTTCGATACAATTTATTTTGTTTACAATAGATTCAGAGTTAATACATACGATTTTTAGTTGATTGGTATTGCCTTTAAAATTATTTGTAGTATCTAGTTTGCCCAAGCCGGATTTGTAACAATTATTTCTGTTTTTTTTTGTTAACTGCGGTTAGTACAATTCTTATACTTAAAGTCAAAACGACGAACCATTGAACCTTCAGGCCAGATACTGGGATTGAGAACTTCATTTTTATAATCCAATGGATATGAAACTTTAAAGCTTACTTGGTACTCCGTAACCTTTAACTTCTTGAAGTAGAAATGTATATTTGGAGCATTTACCTTTAAATTATTGGTCAAATCTTCCGTTGTCTGTTGTGGAATTATATTATGGTGTAAATAAATAATGATTGATTGGAGTAAGAATTATGTCTGTTTACTTTTAATATTGGCTATGAGCATATGTGCTTGGTTGTAAATATAGTAATTGTTATCCAGTTCTAGTCTGTTAAAATGTAACTAACTTTCGCAATAAAATAATTACTAAAATACTAGTAGTTGTGTCTGAGATTAGCGAATCGATTATACATACACTACATACATTCAGTATCATTGTATATCCAAGATGGACGCCGCTACACAATAGCGGATTACTTATTTTTTCACAACTACTTCAATATGGGTATCAAATGAAAGGGCTTGACTAGTAGAAAAGAGTTCATTATAGAAAATCCAAAATGGCCGCCAACAAAATGGTGGATTACATATTTTCGTTGGGCGTACTGTTGTACACCAATGATTTTTTTTATTTTTATTGACTTCTGAAAGGCATTTGATCGTATTAAGTACTCTATATTGATCGAGTTCTAAGAAACATTGGTTTGGATGGCAGAGACGTTCGCATAATTGCAAAGTTGTATTGGAATGAAACATAAGTTTTAGTAGACGGTTTGGAATCACATCGCCGTTTACTCCAAAAGAACGTTCAGAAATGCACTTTCTGAAAAACAAGAAGGAATAATTATGAACAGTGACTTCATAAATAATTTGCGATATGCGGACGATACATATACGGACGATAAATATTGAGATATACAATAAATAAAGTTTTAATATTTTTTATTTGTAATTCCCATTTAAATATTTATTCCCTAAATATGTTGTGTACTCCGATCCATATATTTGATCTTTGTTATTTATATTTAACGAATTAAACATTGACAGACAACTTTTGTATATAGCAAAAAGTAGATGAGCATTTAGTTTTTTCATAATTTAATGTAAGTTTGTTTGGTGAAAAAGACAGCAAATATTTTAAGTTATGTAAGTTTGTTTATTTGCAATCATGTTTTTATTTTGAAGTCTTGTTCTGTTGTAATTTTAAGATTTTCCCAATTTTCGATCTAATTATGTTTCCAACAATTTTTAGTTTGAGCATTTTAGGAATTTCTTTGTTTCGTTTAAATAAAATATTCTCGTGTATAAAACCCTCTATATATTTTTATTTCCTAAAAATACTATATTTGTATTGTTGTCTGCGAGCGCTTTCACACCAGTAGGCCAACATCTGTTGATTTTTTGACCTGAGCCTTCGGAGACAATAAATTTAATGTGTGTTCATAGTTCTCTGGTTTTTATTCTGAACTATCCCTTGGCAGACCAAATTTTATTTTTTTATTGCTCCACGTAACGAGAGCTCGGGCGGACACGTCGGTGTCGGCTTACTGATCGAAAGTCAAATTAATACTATTATGTAATACCTAATAATAATTACAAAGCAATAGTAATTACCTTATTAGTATTAGTATAGTTATTATTCTTAGGAAATCTAAATAAACTTATTCCTTTTCCTGTCACAGATGAACATCCGCGAAACGCACAACAATAACCAGAAGACATTTTAAATACTTATAAATTAAACTTTTAACTATAAACTATAACTATAAACTTATATATTTAACTTATATATTTTAACTATAACTATAAACTACAACTATAAACTTTTAACTACTAAGTAAATTAGATAAATAGTCAAATGCACTTGTATAGTCGAGAGTTTACCACATATGCCTACGGACTATCGTAAGCAACCAAAGTTGAAGAAAACGCACGTGTTTTTGACAGTAAAGCACCCTATTTGGGTCATGCGTATACAGAAAAGATACACGGATTTCGGGTCTCGTGTCGCTTCTCTGTGTTCGTAGTTCTCTGGTATAAGTATGTGAGGTTAAATGAAATTTTTGTCAGCAACTCAATGTTAAATTATTTTGTACTACTTTTGTTTTTTTTTGTAATAGTGTTGCCGAGCTAAGCAAACAAAGCTTAATTTAATGATATTTTTTTATTATAATTTGGTGAATATTTTGATCTAGTTTTATAGTAATGTTTGTATTTTTTGGAGACTGAAGCATATCCATTAGCACCAGATGATTGCGTTGACCTTATAGAACTTGTGCCAGTTACTTGGGAAACCCCATTAGATAATGAGAAAAATCTTGACAATGAAATTACTATTGAAAATAGCGTTCAAGTTCTGGAGGTTGAACTACCAGAAGCAGATTTGGACAATGAAGCACTGCAGATGCTTTCAACTTCTAAAGGAGAAACAAGTAACATGATTCCTTATCAGAAACAAAATCAAGAAAAGAAAGTCGCATTAAACGGTGAAGACAAGTAAATGACAAGATTAAAGAGCATCTTGAAATCTTCAAATGATAAAAAAACCATTTGCCCATGGGAAGACCAAGAAATGGAGAAAACGTATGTATGTAAATCAAAACCACGAATCAAGGAAAAAAAGCTGTATTCATACAAGAGTTACTTCACACAAACAAATGCATGTAAAGAATCACGACAGTTCCGTATGTATCTTTGTAATTCTGACATTTTTGGAAAAGATTTTTTGTGGATAATCCCAAAAAAGAATTTGATAAATTTTACACTACTGAATCACATGATGTCCAGAATTTGTTCAAATGTTTCCGAAGTCCCATTAAAGCGTAAAAGAGCAAAAACAAATAACACGAGAAATACTAGCAGGATATACAGAATATGTGTGACAGTGTGTAAACCTTTCTTTTTAGAGACCTTGAGAATATCAAGTTGCCAAATCAATGCAGCATTGAAAGCTATAAAATGTCCAATGGGTGTTCTAGATTGTCGTGGTCAAAGTGGAGGTCATAATAAAATTAACTAAAATCGTGTGCAACAAGTAATTGAGCACATAATGAAATGCCCCAAGTACAAGTCACATTGCAGAAGTGCTAACACAGAAAGAGAATATCTAACAGAAGAAGAAGCACACAATAATCCTTTTAAATCTTCATTTTACAAAAAAATATTTTTAGCACGATTTAATCTTCAAAAACGTTGAAAAAAGATACCTGTAATAGATGTGATCGTTTAGAATTAGAAATTAAAAATTGCTTAGATAACGAAAAATTAAGCAAGTTAAAGGAGAAAAAGTGTGCATTTAGAAGAAGCGGAAAATGCACAATCTAGAAGAAAGCTCGACATGAAGATGAGCAACAATAAACCAGAAGGGGAAATCTTTTGTTTCGATTTAGAAAAAACTCCAATTCTGAGAATCCCAACCAATATTGTATATTATAAGCTTCAATTATGTATTTACAACCTTGGTATCCATAGCGGTAAGGATTAAAAAGGTCATTTTTATGTTTGGATAGAAGGGGAAGCTGGTCGGGGAGCCCAGAAAGTTGACAGTTGTCTTCAGAAACATATTGAAGAAAATGTTACTTCTGCAAAACGTAATTTTGTGATCAGACTCTTGTGGCGGACAAAACTGCAACATTTAAATAGTTTTAATTCTAAAATGATTTTAGAAACTCATCCCATCATTGAAAAAAATAGATCATGTTATCTCTTTCCAGGTCATAGCTTTTTACCCTATGATAGTTATTTCGGAAATATTGTTTCAACAAAAAGTTTCAACAACGTTTATATACTGTTGATGATTGATGACGTTTATATACACAGAATGAAAAAAGAAGAATTCGTTGGAACAAAGAAGTTAGAAACAATGATTACGAACCGCAAATCAGACGTAGAAAATAGTAAGGTAAGCTGGCTAAAACAAGACAAATTCAAATAAGAAAGGATAAACCACTGAGTATTTTTATGAAAACCGATTTTAATACTAGTGAAGTTGAAGTAGATCTTCACAATTTTAATGCATCTAATACCAAATGATGTAAAACCTCTGTAGCGCTCCCTATTGAGTAGAAGATGACATTGACGGATTTGATAGAGACTTAGACTTTGAGGTACAAGATGATTAACGTTTACTTGTTGTTGAAACTGAGTTCAGTTTTTTTTTATATTTTCGATTAATTTCTTAAGTAATGTAAAATGTTCAAAACAACGACTTTTATTGTCATACCCAAAAACAAAAAATAGCTTGTGGTCTACTGATCATTCACTAGAAGTGATATTTTAGTTACGCATCATGTATAACGCAATGACACAATGTGCCGAAAATCGTAAGTCGACCAAAAGCCTTTTTATTTATTTTTTTTTTCCTTTTTCTGAACATTCGCAAGGTACTATTTCGCACTAACTGTTTTCAAAAACAAAAAATTACGACAATTGTCGTAATAACATATACGGAATTTAAATAAAGTGAAAACTTTGAACTTTGATGGTATACAAGGCAAATATCGAACACAGTATTTAATCAAATCTTGCCGAAGTACTTTCGATCACAAGATCATCTTCAGGGGCATTTCGTCAGTTGTGGCCTATCCAGCAATAACAGAATGTCATAAATGTAAATTGGGACATAACAAATACACTAAACAAAGACAAACAAACACTTTAAAATTTAAAATTGGAGAAGCTACATTTTATATAGAAGCCGGAGACAGAATCTCCAATTTTAAATTTTAAAGTGTTTGTTTGTCTTTGTTTAGTGTATTTGTTATGTCCCAATTTACATTGAAGATGATCTTGTGATCGAAAGTACTTGGGCAAGATTTGATTAAATACTGTGTTCGATATTTGCCTTGTGTACCATCAAAGTTTATTTATTCGAACATTCAACCTTATATTGATTTGAAAACTTTGAAGTCAAATATCTCTAAATCAATTTTTGGCGCTTGGTCTAGTGATGCATAACGCCGTCAAAATATTGTCAGACAATTACTTTTATTATATTCAATCTGTAATGTAATTACTTTTGTAATTATATTACAGATTTAAAATAAACTAGGATGTTATATATAAAAAAATAATCTACTTACTATTGCACATCACTGTCCGAATCAGAGTCTGAATCGGGTATGTTCTGTTTTATAGGACTTATTTGGGTTTTCTTAAGTGATTCTAATATAGCGACAGCATTGTCACTATCGGAATCTGTATTAAGATGATCTGAAGAAATGCCGAATTCAGTGTCGTCTTCATATCTAAAATTGAACGTAATACCCTTTTAATAATAGTGAATTGGTACATTTAATATCAGTCAAATTTAGTTCATAATTTTATACAGAGTGTACCGTTTTTAAATAAAACGAGCGGTTCGAATTTATATAAATATATTTATTTATAACTTTACAGTTCGGTATTCTCTTATCAACTAAACTTATTCCTAAGATCGTTACATATATATACTAAAGTTACTATTTTCTAGAAAGTTCCCACCTCTAGGCGAACGCGACTGATCTTTCTCGAAATATCGAGTCGCTTTCGAGATGCCGCAGCGCCGCATGGAAGCATGAGGTGCACGTGCATAAATGCACGTTCGTAACACTGCTCCCCTCTTAGATCTGAGCGTCCCGATCAGCAACTCTATATGTAGGCACAGGATGGCGGAATCTACAGGACTCTCCAGCTCTGCATGAACCCCTCAGAAAGAAATAACAGTCTACTGTCTTTGAAGGACACAATCTCTTTGGATTAGTGCAACACACGGTAATTCTTACAACCGGTTTCTCGGAAGATCACTTCTAGCATGCTTCTGACAATCTTCCAATCCAGATTATCTAGTGCATGGCCTATCTTGGGTAAGGCCAAATTCTTAATGTCGTAATTGCAGACGATTTTCTTCAAATTAGTTAGAGCACACCATATATCCTCGTAGGTTGCCCTGTCTGTATACGACTTCCTGGTCACCATATACAGCAAAGATCGAGAACCATCTTCTAATCTCAGTACTCTTCCAACTTTAGGCTGCTGGTTTTTTAACTCGTCCAAACGACTGAACTTCTTATAAAATACAGATGAGATTCCTTTAGTCATCTCAAGATCTTGGGCAACACAGTGGGCTAGAGAGACGTTATGCGGTACACTAAAAAGATCCTGCTGAACTTCTGTCGTCACGCTGAATCTAGCACTCTTTCTCTCTGCGTAATTTGACATAAACTCATTAAAGCTTGGTCGCCGATCATCTTTGATCTCATGTTGAAGGGTTCGGACTTCTTCGGTTTCGTTTGAGCCAGCATAAGGTGCAAGACGATTTATGTGAACTACTTTAGGTTTACCTTTCGGCAACTTCTTAATTCGGTATATTACGTTATTTATTCTCTTTTTTAATTTCATACGGACCCCTCCCATTGTCTTTGCAGTTTAGGAGACAAGCCACGACGACGTTGTGGATTATAAAGCCAAACAAGATCACCTACTTTATAGCTTTCATTTTTGCATCGAGAATCATATTGATCTTTCATTCTGTCACTGGCTAACTGGATGTGTTGTCGGCAAGTTCATGAATGTTGTTCATTCTTAACTTCAGGCGGTCGACATAATCTTCGCTTGCAACATGTTCTTCGGAAGGTCTGGAGCCAAACTCTAGGTCGCAGGGCAAACGAACTTCACGACCTAACATCAGGCAGGTTGGAGTCTGGCCGTAGTTTCATTCACAGCCGAGGCGTAGGCCATTAGGAATAAATGAATGTGCTGGTCCCAATCTCTTTGATGTTCTGATACAACTTTGGACAGGTGTTTACCCATCGTTCGTTCATTCTCTCGACCATTCCATCTGATTGAGATGCAGGGGTGTCGTTCTGGTCTTATTGACACCAATCAATTTACAAACGTTTTGGAAAAGGTTTGACTCGAAGTTTCGCCCTTGGTCGGAGTGGATCTCCAAGGAACACCAAATCGGCTAAAGAATTCTTTAACAAGTACCTCTGCAACGGTAGCAGCTTCTTGATTTGGTATCGCATAGGCCTCAGTCCATTTTGTAAAAATAATCCATGGCTACCAGGATATATTTATTTCCATCATTCGTCTCTGGAAGTGGACCTGCAATGTCGATTGCTACTCTCTCCATAGGACTACCAACATTGTACTGTTTCATGGGTGCCCTCTTTTTACCAACTGGACCATTACTAGTTGCACACAGTTCACATTTCCGGCACCACCTTCTTACATAATCTTTACAGTTCACCCAATAGAACCGTTCTCGAACCTTTTGCAGAGTCTTCGTAATACCAAAGTGTCCACCTGATGCACCGTCATGCAACTGACGCAATACTTCTGACACTTTACTTTTAGGTACAATCAACTGAAGCTTAGTTTCTGTACCATCATTGTTCTCAAAGGTTCTATACAGAAGATCATCTTTCAGCACTAGGCAATTCCATTGGCTCCAGTAACACTTGACTTCGGGGCTACATGCACTAATGTCTTGCCAAGAAGGTCTTTCACTTCGACGCACCCAATCCAATACTCTTTTTATACATGGATCATCTGCTTGGGCGTCTTGTAGCTGTTGAGGCTGCCATTGGTCATTAATAACGGTGGTTCGCCTAACGGGGCAAAATCGTTCTTCTAATTCAAGACAATGATTACGATTTGCACTGTATGGCCGTCTTGATTGAACATCAGCATTTGAATGACTTTTTCCAGCCCAGTGCTCGATCTGTTCTAGCTTTCTGACTGTTGTATTATTTTCTTGCACTTTGTGGCGAATGTGACCTTCGTTGTTACCATTCGAACATCTGGGTTCACGTTTCTTCGGCATCATGTGACGAACTACTTTCCGTACGATTTCTTCTAGACGTTTATCGTTTCGTTCGTCACTCTCTTCAGAGGTTCGTACTTGATAGCTCCGTGAAACTCGACTAGCTATTTCGTGTTCCAAGGCAATGGCGAGCGCTTCATCTAAATACTTTCGGTCTTGCTAGTCGTAAAGCTTTCTGTAGTTCACTGTCTTCTTAACCCATTGACGAAGGCATCTACAGCAATTTCTTCCAAAATGTTGTCTGGTACCTCTGGATAGGCCAACAGCACTATACGAGCAATATCTGCTTCAAATTCTTGCAAACTCTCACTTGCTCGTTGAGTTCTCTTCTTAGTTGCGCCTTGTAGACTTGTTGTAGATGGGCATCTCCGTAACGTTTATCTAGTCTAGTAAACAAGGTCTGGTAACATTTTTCTTGACCCTTAGGAATCGATCTTAGGATATCTGCAGCATCACCTCGTAAAGCAGCAGTCAAGGAAACAGCCTTTTCTTGTTCTGTCCAATGATTGGCTGTCGCAATAGCTTCAAATTGTCTAAGGTACATGGACCAAGAGGACTTTCCATCAAATGGTGGCAATTTGAATCTCATATGATGTGTCGTTTCATCTCTCGGTGATTCTTCTTTCACTACCGGATCTAAGGCTACTGTGTTTAACTGGTGGTAGCATTTTTGTGTTAGTTATCATGCTCTCTAACTTTTTGATCTTCTCTTCTACGTCCTTCTATCTTGTCGTTTACATTTTCTGTATCTTATCAAATGTTTTAGAAACTTCGTCAAATTTTTCATTGTTTTCTTTTTAGAAGTTTCTTCCATCATTTGAGAAACATTTTCAAATTTCTCGTCGAATCTTTGAAGATACATTTTCGAATTTCTCATCGAATTCTTTTGGAAACGTTCTCTAATTTATCATCATTTTTTTTAGAAGTAACCTCAATCATTTGCGAGACGTTCTCAATTTTCTCGTCGAATCTTCTAGACACATTTTCAAATTTACTATCATTTTTTTTAGAAGATTCTTCAATCATTTGCGACACATTTTTTATTTTCGTTAAAACTGCTTCTTCTGCTGACTGGAACTGGAATATCTCTGGGTCTTCTCCATTCTTGTTGAGAACAGTCCTTCAGTCGTTCTTGTAGTATCTTCTTGGACCCACTGCAGTCTTCATCGCGTTCTTCTAGTTGCTCATCAGCAACTGTTTCACTGAAAGTTCTACTAGCAGCATCTTTGGTCAGGCACACACGTACTTTTTGAAATGTTCTTTGGTACAACGTTCACTACCGAACTACGCGGATGTTCCCGACGAACAATACTTTTCAAAAGTTCAAAAGTCTTTTTCAAAAATTCAAGTCTTTTTCAAAAAATCACTGTTGCATTTTATATTCAAATCTCACACCGGACACCAACTGTAGCGTTTTTAAATAAAACGAGCGGTTCGAATTTATATAAATATATTTATTTATAACTTTACAGTTCGGTATTCTCTTATCAACTAAACTTATTCCTAAGATCGTTACATATATATACTAAAGTTACTATTTTCTAGAAAGTTCCCACCTCTAGGCGAACGCGACTGATCTTTCTCGAAATATCGAGTCGCTTTCGAGATGCCGCAGCGCCGCATGGAAGCATGAGGTGCACGTGCATAAATGCACGTTCGTAACAAGAGTTTAAATTTAACAAAAAAAATCTCCCTATTGATTTTAATCTATTTGTAACTTTTTTAAAAGCAATATGAGGGATAATTTCCAATTTGATGTAACGCAACAACCTTAACACATATACTTTACTTTTAGACCAGAGAAATTAGCAAATAAAAAGCCCTTCTCGTGACATTCCTTGATACAGGTATCTAACAACCGTGTTTTTGATAAATTTGGTAATAACAATATGTAAGTAACAAATATGCAAAAGATTAAACGGCAAATTATATGGAAATTTACAAATTTACTAAAAAAGCATGGAAAATCCTTAACAATGAGAATTTTGAAAGTTATTTTTGTTAATTTTTTGTTTAGTTATTGCAAAAATAATTTCTAAAGTCGATGTTTAGAAAATTATTAACTTTTCTAAAAATGTACAAAAAACTTCGCTTTTCCTAATTTTGCGTGATAATAGGGACAATATACTCCATTCGCTTAGCTCGGGCATATTTTGACAAATACATTGTCGGAAGCCTACAACACAACAATTCCTACTTCTCATTATTAATAGCTCATGTATACTACTATTGCAGACTTCTTTCTTAGAAAAAAAAAAAAGAAGAATTATTCTAAATAGTGGAAGTGTATAATAAACCCATCCAATTTTGGGTAGTAATATATATTTAAAAAATATATCTTAGTTGTTATAATTTAACATAACTATTTATTATATGGAGCAGATAAATAAATATTGATTGTCGGTAATTCGGCAAAGTTCTATTTTATTTACTATTTAGTTTGTTTACTATTAATATTGGCTATGAGTACGTGTGCTTGGTTATTCGCTCCGTGCGTGACCATGGTAGGGGTACATTGAAACGACGCCAGCGTGCATAGCGGCGAAATATGACAAAATTGGAATATTGGACAAAATATTTTTACGCATAATTTTATCAAAAATGTGTGCAAATACATGTTGCGTATTTAATTGTGCTAATAATAGCAAAAACAGTGAGTGTAGTTTTTATAGGTTCCCAAAGATTACATATAAATTAGAGAAAAGAAAAAGATAAATTTCTGCTATTAATATGAAAAAGTAAATATCACATAATTTCATTTTTACGCAATTGAAATAGGAAAAATTTAAATAATTTACCTTGAATGATATTTCATAAGGCTTCAAGCTAACTGCAGATAACTTTATATCATAACTTTTACTATTATTGTTTTTAATTATATGCTCTTTTGCGTGAAAAAACTTGAATTTGTCAGTACTAGATTTTTCCCTTTCTCTTATGTTGGGAGTTGAAAAGGTATATTATGATGAATTTTGAGAAACCCAGTTTTTAATACTACATATTATTTTGTACATAAACTGAAAAAATATAGTTAAAAAACTAATTGTCAATTCGCATGTATTTAACAATGTCAAACATATGTCATATGTTTTAACCTGAAAATTGGGACTCCAAAATTGTCAGAAAAAGGCGGTAGTGTCGTGTCAGTCACGCACGGAGCGAATATAGTAATTTCCAGCGACTTTCAGTCTCAAAAAGTAACTAACTTCGCAAAAAAATAATTACTAAATTCAGTAGACAGTTCGGACTGGGAACAGCGAACCGAGTATACCAAATGTAATTTGGTTGGATTGTTACATTACAATCTGATAATGGGAGATTTTAACGGGAAACTCGGAAGGAAAAAGGACGAACAAGAAGTGACAATCCGAGATTTTGGAATCGGAGTAAGAAACGAAAGAGGCGAAATGCTTACCAACTTTCTACTGCAACACAAACTGTATGCAATGAACACCTTTTTTAAGAAGAAACAGAATAGAAAATGGACGTGGACTAGTCCAGATGGAAGAACTAAGAGCGAATATGATTATATAATAACAGACAAAAATCAAATTATTCAAGATGTCACTGTACTCAATAAACTATCAGTAGGAAGCGACAACAGACCAGTAAGAGCTAGAGTAACGATAAATCTACAAAAAGAAAGAGCAAAGATGATAAACAGTTGCAAATGCATCGTTTGGAATTCACCAAATCATCCAGAAGCATACATAAAAAATATAGCCGAAACTTTACAGAGTAATAATCCCAAACCTCTAAGTATCGACGATCACACTAAATTAATAACAGACTCGGTTAGAATCGCACAACTCAAATTTTGCAAGAAAAATGACACCAAAAGTGAAAAGATTAGCAAAAATACAAAAACTCTCATGGAATTACGACGAAACCTAAGCGAGAACGAAAAGGGAAACAAAGAAGAATATAAAAAACTAAATAAAAGAATTTCAGCGGAAATTAGAAAAAGATGTAAAAAGGATTTAAAGATAATGAAAAGAAAACTCACACAAAGTAAAAAAGAAATATACAAGCTGAGAGATAAAGACGGAAAGGCAACAACAGATAAACAAAACATTCTGAAAATAACCAGAGAGTTTTATAAAGCCTCTATACCAGCCAAAGACCACAAGACAATTTCCCGACACGAGTAAAGACTTTCATAAATCAGGGATCGGAAATACTTTTACCCATTACAGAAGTAAGAGCAGCTTTAAAGGAAATGAAAAACCATCGATCGCCTGGTGATGATGGACTCGTTATCGAGGCAAAAAAAGCAGGAGAAATTTTATTAAAATCAGTAAGCGAACTGTTTAATAAATGCTTACATGCGCGTACGATTCCAAAAGACTGGAACAATGCAGTAATAGTCTTGTTACACAAAAAGGCGATATTACTATATTAGAAAATTATAGACCCATCAGCCTCTTGACACATATGTACAAACTGTTTATGAAAATCTTAACAAAGAGGCTAACACCTAAACTTGATTTCTATCAGCCCAAAGAACAGGCAGGCTTCAGGGCAGGATATGGCACAAATGATGATTTGCATACCAGAAAGATCTTAATAGAAAAATGCATCGAGTACAACATACCACTGGTTCTTGCATTTGTTGATTACGAGAAGGCCTTTGATTATGTAGAGTAAGGACGACCACCGACTAGATGGACCGATGATATAAAACGTGTAGCAGGAAACTGGCTACAAGCGGCCCAGTGTAGAGAACACTGGAAATAACTGACGGAGACCTATGTCCAGCAGTGGACGCGATTGGCTGATTGATGATGATGACTATTAGGTCTACATAAATTATTCTTCTTCTTTTTATGTAGACATGACTGTCTGTTTTTTTTTTCAATGTGCCCCCAGTAAGTTGTCGTTCCATCGTTTTCATGGTCTTCCTATTGGGAAACCGTCTCTTGCCGTATTTACTACTCTATTTGTTGTCATTCGGCTGTTTGTTCCATTCTACTCTTCTATTTCTTATCCAGTTCTTGATGTTCTCCATCTGGCATCTCTGTCGTACGTCTGTACTTATAGCGCTGTCCATAGTGTCATGCCATCAATTTTTCCTAAGTGATTTCATCTCTGCTGTTTCTAACATCCTTTTTGTCTTCTCCTTTGACCATTATTGGTCTGATAACTGTTTTGTAAATTGTGCTTTTCATTTCTTTCCCAATATTTTTATTTCTCGATATTAAATTTCTCCATATATAATGTAATGCCTAGACAGTTAAACTCCATCCCTTGTTCTATTATCTGACCTTATAGCTCCAATTTACATCTTAGTAAATTTGTTGTTGGAACAATGTATTTTGTCTTTTTTGGGGAAATTAACATGTTAAATATTCTGGCGGTTACATTAAAATTGATGCAGCATACCTTGTAAATCGTCTTCACTTTGAGAGAGTATATAATAAAATAATCTGCATAGCAGATTATTTTAAGTTGTTTTTCTCCCATTTGGTATCCTTTTATAGTTCTTACTTTTTTTATCATTTCGTCCATAATCAGGTTGAACATTAGAGGACTAAGGGAATCTCCCTGTCTTATCCCATTGCCAGCTTCAATAGGGTCGGTTAGTTAGTAAAAGGAACATATTTATTCTCGAGAGGAAGAGAGAGAAAATATATCTTCCGTCTCTCTCTTACTCATTATCTTACATATGTAATGGTTTCACAGATTCACTCTCATGCAAATTTCCAACGCCGACCGTGCGTATAGAAGTATAACTTCAAAAATGGTTCATTTAAGTGAAAAAGATTTGAAAGTTTTGAAATATTAAGGATGATCGGTTATGGTGATCGTGTTAGAACAGCATCCCAAAAAGTTAAATAACAGAATGTCAGTTACCACAAATTTTTTGGTTTCAACAAAATTAAGCGCGCCCACTATTATCGAAGAGTTAGAACTTTTAAATGCGAGTTTTCTAAATTGATGGATTGGATATAGAGGAGTTATACAGTGGCCTGCACGTTCTCCGGTCTTTAATCCTTAAATTGTTTTCTTTAAGGTTATCTAAAATCATGTGTTTACATTAGGTGTCAACATGATTTCAGGATCTGAAACAAATAATTATTGATAAACGTGGACTAATACGGAAAGACGTCTTGGAAAGAGTGACTCACGAATTTAATAATAGGCTTGCTCATTGTCAGGGGGCGAACAGCGAGCATTATGAACATTTGAAGTGATTTATTTAAATTATTATTATCATTGGTCTTAGTAAATAAATTTACCAATTCTTTAATTGTAAAGTAATTTATTTCTCGTTTTAACATTTTTTTCTACCAAACTTGGTACGTAAGAATTAGGAATATTAGGTAATTTTAAAATCTGCAAGAATATCTAATGTGTAATATATATTTATCTCTGTACTTGCAGGCAAAGTTTCGTGAATAGCATCTTTTTTGTTTCAAAGATATTTAGTTGGTTCTATACTTTATCCCAACCCTGAATATTCAAATTCTTATGATTAATATCGGACCATAAAATAAATTTAGGAACAAAAGTTATTTATAGTTTTTGCATTAACTAAAATAGTGTATTTATTATTAAAAATATTTATTTTGCATTAGTATTATTGTAGTATGTATATCCTCCTTATCATTATCCTCTGCATCCTTAAATAAGATTTACCAATTGAGATTCGCGATTAAGATAGCACGTTTATATGTACAATAACTATAAACATGATAAAACTCAGTGATAAAAGCACATTAATATTATAATAAACTGTAAAATTTAATAATTTATACCTTACCTTTTGCGTTTTGTTTTATTTTTTGGTTTTTGATCTGCATCATTTGAATCCGATGCAGCAGAATCATTGGATTCAGATGATGATAACTTTCCCCTTAACAGCGAATCTTTCCTCCACGCTTTCTTCGCCAGTTCTTCCTTTGAAAGTGGCTCCTTAAAAAATTTAATTATTTAAATTTAATTTAAATTAAAATATTATTATTAATAATAATTTAAATTTCATTTTTACATTTATTTTCAATAATATTAGTTTAAAAAAATGTTACCAATATTATGTATGTATAGTTATATTGACTTCATTTATTGACCATCAGCCATGTTCCTATTTTATCATATACCTATACTGCTCATATCGTTAGTAACATATTATTTATTTTTTACCTATTGTTTTCACCCATTTTACAACATTAAAATGTGAAAACCTTGAATTATCAGTCCACCCATCTGTAAACACAACACCTCCGGTATTAGAACAGATAAAATGACAAATGAGGTGTCGAATGAAAGCTTATATCCCAAAAATGGTTTTAAAGGTGAGAAAGGCTCTATCGAGATAAGATAGTCAAAAGTGCCCTCGCACCGATCAGCACCGCAACTTGTGCTTCCAATAAAGCATATAAAAACATAACTTCATAAAAATTTTTAGCTTCCCAGAGCCCATAGAACCTCTTAAATCTATCAAGGAAGCTTTTTTTCGACTTTATTTTTCTGGACACAATTTTGCTTTAAAAAATCTGAAAAAATTCATGAAGATGTATCTTTCGAATACAAAATAGACTGATTTTTTTCAAATTTTTATATTAAAAATTGAGCTCAGGAAAAATCATTGAAATTTTTAATAATTTTTTAGGTTATGTTAATAATGTTTGACTAACTTTTAAATAGTAATTTTTTATGCATTTATTTCGTTCTTTTAAATGCCCAAGACAGAATTTTCAATTTCTGAGCGGAAGGTATCGAAAAATAAAAAAAAAACTGTTCTTTTTATTCATTTATTTGCAGATAACCTTAAAACTCGGTTGGTAATTCAACATTTTTTTTTTTCCACGTTATCAAAATCTATTGTAAAAGTTCACATTTAACTCTTTCATAAAATAAAATTCGAAAATACCACATTTTTTATCCTTTTCGCACTTATTTTTACCTTACCTCAAAATCAGATAGTTAGATGTATGCTTTTCCATTTATTTTCTTACGGCAAGGGCGGTCATAAGGGGGCATGGGGTCCTCCCCCCCCCCCAAAGGTGGCAATGCACCGTAAATAAACTTGTCTAGTAACACAGGATAATGTTATGTTATTATATTTTAAATTATTTACTCTGTAAATTAATTATTTTGAATGGATTCACATACGGATTTTGAAATACCTAGATAGTGCAATCTGTAATAATGATAATTAATCGTAATGCCCTGTCTCTTCAACTCTGGTTACGCCAATGCAAGTGCATCGCCTCCCGCGCGAATCCAGACACCGGCGACGTCCAGTCTAGAAAACACAAACATAAGAAATCGTAGTTATAGAGGTGACATATATATATATATATATATATATATATATATATATATATATATATATATATATATAAATATATATATATATATATATATATATATATATATATATATATATATATATATATTGCCGGATTGTAATACATCAGCAATGGAAAGAATACATCAGCAATGAGTAAATAATACTCTGCAGTTTTATTTTCTTTGTATTTCGAAATACAAAAGTTAATAGATTCCGATTTGAACGAAAAGTGACTGCAAATTATTATTAGGCTCAAATTAAAAAACCTGAGCATATCCATCTCTCGTATGGCCGGAATCACAAATGTTCTTTTTTTTTTTTTCAGAAAATGAAGAGGGAAACAATACGAATACGTTGAATTCGTATTTTTCTGTTCGTTCCGAAGAAAGTAATTAAAGATGTGGGTGATAATGGGTCATCCGGTCATCTTCCTCATCGTCTTCTCAACAGAATCTCGTAGTGCCAGAACGACTTACAACAGTATCAACATTACAAACATCAGTTAATAATGAAAATACTCTAAAGCAAGTCGCTGTAGAAAAGTCCAATGAAGTTAGTAACTACGACATTGGTCGAGTTGTTGATGGTTTGAGTGGTTTGGGAGACTTTCAAAAATATAATTATTTGAAAAATACGTGGGTTCCGGAAAAAAAAACTACTCATTTCCATTTTCTGAACATAACAAAAATAACAAGTTAGTTAAGCGGTACTTGAGACACGATCATCTCCAAAAATATAACTGGATTGCGTTTTCGGACTTGAAGAAAGGACTTTTTTGTAAGCACTGTGCTATCTTCGCAAATTCAGGTGGTAAAAATAAAGCAACAAGTTTGCAAAGTTTGGTTACCACACCAGTTACAAAATTTGCAAAATTATTTGGAATGGATGGTGTGCTAGATAAACATAATACAAATCGATATCACATTGAAGCGGTTTTATCGAGCGATCATTTTATAAAATGTTACGAAAACCGATCTTTAGATATAAGAAATTTGATAGATAGTGCTCGAGCCAGGCAGATAGAGGATAATCGAATCGGCTCAAACCAATCATTCGATCTATAATTTTTTTAGCCAAAATGTATACCTTTCCGTGGCCATAGAGATGACGGGCCATTGTTAGAAGAAAGCAATGTGACAAATAATGAGGGAAACTTCCGAGAGCTTCTTCGATTCAGAATCGAAGCAGGAGACAAAACTTTAGAAGAGCATTTAAGAAACACGTCGTCACGTGCCACATATATTAGCAAAAGAACGCAAAATGAGTTGATTGAATGTTGTAAAGACGAAATTTTGTCTGTTATCGTGAAAAAAATTAGTGATGCTAAATATTACAGCATTATGTTTGACGAAACTACTGACATAGCACATGTTTCCCAAATGTCGATTGTTATTAGATACTTAGAAGGTAACAACGTGCGGGAGGATTTTGTGTCATTCATAGATTGTCATTCTGAGAACTATGAGCTCAGTCCCGATACGTTGGAACCGGTTTTGAATGGTACTATTTTAGGAAAATCAGTGATAAAACAAGTTCAAAAATTTCGTTTACCATTGGAAAATTGTGTAGGAATTTGTACAGACGGATGCAGCGTAATGACATCAAAACAACAAGGAGCCGTCCAAGAAATTCAAAAAGAAATGAATATAGCTGTACGATGTCCATGTTTCAATCATGCTTTAAATTTGAGTTTGTCGAAATCATCAAACGTTCAATGTGTGAGAAATGCTGTAGGGGTAATGAAGGAAATAATATCTTTTTTCAAAGCCTCTTCTAAACGCAATTATGTCCTCAAACAAACATTGGGTGATCAGCTCTCTGGATTGTGTGAAACGCGATGGGTAGAACGGCACGACTCCGTTCTGCAGTTTAAAGCATCGATTGAAAAAATTTTGCAAGCTTTGAATTTGATTTCCGAATGGAACGAAAGAGAATCTTCCAGTAAAGCTAGGACGCATATACTTGCGATCTCATCAAATTGCAGCTTTATTATCACTTTGTTTTGTCTAAATGAAGTACTCGCAATAACGTTACCTCTGAGCAAATTATTGCAAACAAAAAATTTGGCTATAAGCTCTACACAGAATGCTGTTCTAAATACGCTGCTTGTTTTGAAAGACAAACGCAACAATGCAGAAACAAATTTCAATGCTTTGCTTAAAGAAATAATGCCATGTCTAGAAAATTTGAATATAGATTTATGTATTCCAAGAGTGAATAAATTCATGAAAAATCGACCTAATCCAGATATTCATTCCTCCACAGAATACTTTCGAATAACGATATATATTCCTTTACTTGAAAGTATCATTTCCGACATTGAGTGTCGTTTCCAGCAAGAAACCATGGATGTATTTAATCTGCAAATATGTGTTCCTGCTATATTAATTCATTCAAATGAAGATGACATCCATTCCGCCGTAGAAATTTTGATTGCAAAATATGGAAGTTTGTTTGAGACAGTTAGAGACGTGCTGAAGTCAACTTTTATTGCAGAGCTACATTTATGGAAAATGAAATGGAAACACAGCAAAGAATCGGAAATTCCGAGCGATGATCTAAATGCTCTCATACAATGTGATGAAATGATGTATCCAATCATTAATAAAATTTTAAAAATATTGTGTACTCTTCCAGTAAGTGTTGCATCTGCAGAGAGGAGTTTTTCAGGACTGAGAAGACTTAAGAGTTGGCTGAGGGCCAATATGGGTGAAGAACGGTTAACTGGCCTTGCACTAATGCATGTTCACAAGGACATTGTTATTAACGAAGACAATATAACAGAATGTTTCGCTAAAAGTGGAGTGAGCCGAAACATAGAGTTCGTCATGTAGAGTATTAGTTTTTTGTTTATAATTTCATTTCATTCGAGTTATTGTTATTTTCTCTTTTCAATATATAAAACATCCCATTCTGCGTTTTGTGTCTGTATTGAAATTGAGAGCTAATATCTAATTGTACAAAATGCCCCCCCCCCCCACCCGTGAATTAAGATATATGACCGCCCTTGTCTTACGGGCTATGAATGATATGAATCATTGTTAAAATAATCATTTTTATGTTACAAATTCTCAAATTGCGAAAAAATCGTGTTTTTCTAATATTTTCCAACTTTATTGGCTCATAACCTTAAAATCTACTAGCTAAATGATTTAGTCATTTCTGGCTTTATAGTTAAAAAAAAGCATTAAATGTACAAAATGCATAATAATATTAGAAAGTGAAGAAACATTTTCAAAATTACAGTTAGTAAAACAATATAGTGCTTCGTATCTAGTTATAAAAATATGCAAGGATGCAGAGAAAATGAGAATGGCTGATAAAGTCGCCTAATACCTGTATTGAACAAGAAGAAGACTGTATCTAGATGTCCAGTAAATATTCGAAAATGTGTGATAACAAAAAATATACAAAATTAAAAATCACCTGCTCAGACTTTATCAGAAAGATACTACCAGATCGGTAAAGATGAGCAATTAGAGAAATATTGATTGATCTGTTTTCTGATATACCGAGTGACCCAAAAGTCTGGAAATGGCGAATTATCTCGTAAATTGCTAGTCATAATTACAAAAAAATTGAGGTACCCCTATTTTAGGATACGGAGATTCCATATTTTATATTTGAAATGTTGCCAGATTTGCCGTTTCTCATATTATTAGTAACTTTGGTTTTTCAAATTTATCATCCTGTATGTTCAGTCATTATTGAAAATCTCATGTAAATAATAACAACTTATTTTAATACTGAGGATTTAATACATGCCATCCATGTACGTAAGTACATAAAAGCTTAAAAATACATTTGAATAAAAATCATGAATGCAAAAGGTAACTAACTTTTTCTAAAATCTGACGTAGTACTCGTAAAAAAGCATTAAGTTCTGTATTATATACTGCTGTATTTCTGTAAATATCTGACTGAAAATATTGCAAAAGCTGTCTATGTGAATCAGACAAATGGGTTTCTTACATTTTTTGCAGTTATACTTAGTCAAACGTGTTTATCCAATGCATGTATTCCTTGCGTTTTCCGACATGTTCATTTTATGTTGTCTGTTCTCCTTATCTTAATGGGGCAAATTAATTTAGACGTTGTTGTAGGCAGATATAAATTCCTGAAGATTCGAAATTTCGTCGAAACATATGAGGTAACCTAATGTATGTGACAAAACTTTCAAACATTTTTTTGTTCGAAAAACATTTTGATCGTTGCCAAAATATATTACCTCAGCACACAATATATCTGTTGTGTCGACTCCGCCTTTGGTGCGATTGTAAAATGTGATAATAGATAATTTGTTTATATCTCCTGTTTCAAGATCAATAGAGGAATCTTCATGTAGACTTGAAGCCAAAATTACACATTTTCCTTTTCTGGGAACGTTAGAAACCAAAGTGGACTCATTTTTAAAGGCAAATCGAGCTACTATTATTAGCTCTCATCTTATTTGGAATGAATTCAGGTGGTATCTCGACTTTATTATTTTTTTTTTCAACGACCAACGTAAGAAAGGTATTTACGTCGTAACTCATCTATCAATGGAATACTTGTGAACCAGTTATCAGTAGTAACATTTCGTCCTGTCTGATAAATAGGTTAAAAAAGTATCAGAACAACATCCGACGGTGAATTTCTCAATTGAAATGGGCCTTCAAGTTCTAATCCTGCATATATTTCCAAATTATATAGATAGTAAACCTGGGAATCCACAAGGGCGTAGATTTTCATAGCATATTTATCAGGTTTATTCGGTATGTTGTGTCCTAAATCATACGATTTCTGTGAATTATTCACTAACATAGTAACATATGTTCATGACCAGTCGGAATTTTTCAATACCATCCCGTCGGATCCCCACAGGTCTTCCAGATTCTGTTACTTCTGTTAACACCAGCAAAGTATAAGAGACCTACAAATGCTTTCAATTCAACAATGTCCATAGGCTTGTCATATCTATCGTGTTTGAAGAGCGACTTAACACTTTCAACATTGGTTGGTCTGGTGTACAATTATACGCAATATTTCGTCATCCATAATGCAACTCCAGCACTCCAAAGGAGTTTTTGCCATTCTTCTGCAGCAACTATTACACCTACTTGATTAATTAGATAATTAGGTAACTTAAGATTTTCTTGTTTTGAACGAACTTTTTGTGATGGGGTATTTTTATTCCATTTTTTTTTCTAATAACTTCTTTTCTTTACTTTTCTCTCTTTCAAAAAAGTTGTTATCATCTGCGTTAGATCCATCATAATCTTCATTGTCACTAGCTTCTTGCTCGGTATCTGAATCACCTACACAAGGTTCGACTTCATATTCTGCATCTGTATCCTCTTTATCATCAAAATCATCCTGTGAATCACCTTAGTCGTCGTCAAACATCAATCTTTGTAGTTCTTCAACATCTTTAGGATCCGGAACGTTATATTTTTTACTACAACTTACCACGATAAGCCTACTTACCACCTAAAACAAATATAAATTTGTTAACTTACAAAAAAATCTCCAACCAGCCGCAGTAAATCAGTTTAATGTTTATGAAGTAAGAGTAAGTACATATAATTATGTAATTTTGAATAAAAAAAGGAAAGGCAGTAGTAGTATAAAGAAATAGTACTTACCAAAGTTACTTACTTAAGTTACTTAAGTTATAGTACTTACAAAATTAATTTTGTTACAATAATGGGCGCGGTATATCAAAATGAACAATATTCAAATATTTTCGTTCTAGCAAAAATATTTACTAGTGACCGATCACGTTCTGTAGAATATTGAGAGGTAGGAAGCTACTGATGATGACAATTCTCGACTGTTTACAAGACACATATACTGGCACAAAACATTTGTGTTGTATTAATTAGAACAACCGAGCCGGACGTAAGGTTAATGTAAAAATTAAAACACGTGCGCTACGTACGTTAAATTGATAAACGTAATATTCTAATTGTACATGTAATAAAAGTTGGTTCCCAGGTTAACAAAAATAAACCGAATAATTCAATTTCGACGTTACGAATTATTACGGTAGGAAGAATCATATTTGCAAACTGTCGATGTTATGAGGTGTCGCCGTTATGAATAAAAGACGTTACGAATTGTCCGTTGCCCTTTATGGGATTACGAACTGTCGCGTGACGAAATGTCCACTTAGCTATCTATGTATATGTTATTGCCTGAAATATAAAGGTTTATTCTTTTAGTGGAATCGAGATGTTTAAATTTCAACAAATAACAATAAAAGTCACATCACGCACGTTTTGTCCCATTGCACTTAATTGGAAAATTTCATATATATTGACCTTTCTGTTCTAAATATATTCACTTGGATCCATAGTTTATCCCAACCCTGTATATATAAAAAACACTTTACGTTATACAAATAGTAACCAAATGCTATTTAAAATAGCAACGGTACAAATGTACTTAAAGATGGCCGAAAAAATTACCTTTTTTCCTTCGTTTACAGTGGCATCTTGAGGCGTTTTCTTTTTTTTCTTCTCCTTTCTAGCGGATTCGTTACTATCACTGCTACTATCGCTCTCACTGTCGGATCCGTTTTCCAAGTTTTTGCGAATCATGTCTGCAACAACTGCATCAAGCTTATCAAGTTGATCTGAATCGAGATTGAAGCTGAAATAATCTTATATTAGATACACAATTCATTGGTATGTTTAAATGTTATGTATAATATAATAAACACAGACAATAAACACAATATTTCGCTATTTATGTGATAGCTTCATCAGGAGTAAACTGTAAAACAATTTGAACATTACAAAAAAAAAATGATGTACAAACGGATTTAAAAACACTCACAGAAATTAAAAGATTTCTCAAATAAAAACTGACATTGAAGTATGTAAAATATTGAACGTCAAGATCAAATGTCTTAAGCACGTTCGTTACAGCAATACGATAAAAAAATTTAAATTACTTCAAATGTATATATGTATATATATATATATATATATATATATATATATATATATATTATATATATTATATATATATATATATATAGTCCAAAGTTTTTTGACTAGTTTGGAAAAAATATGTAAATACTTTTTTTCTTTTTGGGTGTGGTAGTCAATAAAAAATAGAGCTTTGCTAAGGCGTACTATTTATTCTGAAATCCGAGCTTTCGGTGGTTATTTGCCACCTTTATCAAGGTCTACAATGAAAATTACTGTGTTATAACATTAGGCTGATGTATATAAAAGTTATACAAACTTACCAGAAAGTAAGATTCATAGCATATAAAACACAACGTTAAATAACATAATGTGATCTGAATTATTGAAGGCATTAAAAATTTTAAAAACTTTAAAATACTTAAAAATTAAAGAACATGTTACAAAGTTTAAAAGTAAAAAAATAAGACGACATGTTTGACAAAAACAGTCGTCTTCGCAGGTTTGAATTCAGTCACATTGTATTGTATTGTTATATATATATATATATATATATTATATATATTATATATATATATTATATATATTATATATATATAACAATACAATTTTGACAGGACAAAAATAGCCTTAAAAAATACCAGAACCGTAGGAAAGTTATTTTCTAAGACAAAAACTCCATTGGCGCCTCTAGAACAAACTAACGTCGTCTATCATGTACCCTGTGCGGAGTGCAACTCCTGCTACATTGGCCAGACCAGCCGCTCTCTTCAAAGTCGACTATCGTCCCACAAAAGCGACATTAGGATTTCAAAACCATGCTGTGCCCTTGCACAACATGCCATTTCAACCAAACACAGTATTGACTTCACGAATACCAAAATACTGTGCAAACAAAAAAATTATCATAAGCGTTCCATCCTTGCAATGTGTCAAACTTCATTTCCATTGTCCTTTCCTTTTTTTTGTTTCTTTTTGTTTGTTTGTTTTTTAAAGGAAAAGAAAAAAATTAATCATTTTTTAAAAATAGGTCTGTCCCCGTTCCGTTCACTAACTCCCTCAATAATTGTACCTCTCTGCTTTCCAAAGAAACATATGTACGACACAAGCCACATGTATAAATTATGACATCCTACAACCGATAGAAAACAATCGAAGATTAGTGTGGTTGGATCCTCGAAAGAGCTTAAACCAACATTCAGATGAAGCCATCGGTCAAAATTAAATAAACAATAGTGGCTCTTACAGTGTTTCTTGTTTTTTTTTTGTTTCGTTCCTCTCGTTTAGTTGTTAAGTTTTAATGTTAAGTTATCGTAGAGTTTTTATAACATCTAATAAAACCTACAAATTGTTTTTGTAAGTGTGAACCCTTTCGGTTGTTTACTTACATTTTAAAATCTTTTTAGATTTTTACTTGTAGTGAACTGATAATACTTTTAAAAATAAAAGCGAAACGTTCGAATAAATCAATGAAGTAGTTGACGACTTTCATTTGCCAATTATTGACCGATAAAAACCTCTGCTATTCAACTATTATATGTTTTAAATACTATATATATATATATATATATATATATATATATATATAAATATATATATTATATATATATATATAATATATATATATATATAATCCTAAACCATTTACCCTAAAATGTCAGGTGTAATGTCTTTAGTTAGTTGCATGTACAATTTTTCTCCATTGCTTCTTATTCTTTGATTGGGTTCTTGCTTGTTCTTTGTTGATTCCTCGTGTCTCTAGGATTGAGGTTACATTATCATACCATGTCTTCATTTTCCTGCCCCTTGGTCTCTTGGTTTGTCTTCTGGCTTACCATACTTTTTTAACTGGTATTTCTTGATTCAATGTAACCATGTGTCCATACCATCTCAGTTGGGCCTCTTCAATTTTCTTAATAATTGGTTGGACTTTAAGATGTTCTGTAACTGCCTCATTTCTAATCCTGTCTAACCTGGTTATACCCATTATTCTTCTAAAAAACTTCATTTCTATGCTCTGTATTTTCGATTTTAATTTATCAGTAAGCGTCCAACTTTCACTCCCTTAAGTTAAAATCGGCACAAACTCCGTCTTGTATATGGTCACTTTGGCTTTTTGGGATACTTCGTTTTTCGACAAAAACGTACTTTTAATTGCGTGGTAGATCCGAGCAGCACTTTCTATTCTGGAACTTATTTCAGTTTCTTCAGTTCCTCTGTTCTCTATTTGTACTCCCAAGTATTTTTAAGTATCGACTTTTTCAAGTGTATTTCCGTTAAGTGTTATCTTCGTTTGTTTTCTATTTTTTCTACATACCATTAATTCAAATAAAAATAAAAATAACAATTAAATAAACGTTAGAAGAATGCTATTTTATATCTTAATGAATTATTAAGGTTAGTTGTTATTAAGGTGAATGTTAGCCATTTTAAATATTTATAATTTTTTTTTCAATATGTTACAATATATCTTACTTAACTGTCCAGTGTCCGTTTTATAATTTAAAGTGTTTTTATTTTTGTTAATGTGATACATCTCAAGAAATAATCTACTTTTATAGTTATCAGTCTGTGCCAAAATGTGAGCCTTGTTATAGTCAAGCATATGACCGGTGTTTTCATAGTGCTCAACTACTACATAAGCATTTTTTCCCAAGCGGCAATCACTTTTTTACGTTGTGTCATGCGTTGTTTTAGCCATTGTGATGTTTGGTCAATGTAGCTATTTTGACATCCTGGACACGGTATTTCATAAACAACATTACTTTTATATAAGGTTGGTACTGGGTCTTTGATTTTTGAAAATAGTTGGTATTATATTTAGCTATACTAATATTAGGAACATTGTTGAATATGGATATGACATAATGAGTTAGACCATTAATAAAGGGAGTTTTTTATATTTGATTGATTTGTTGTTGGAATCATGGACAGGACCATCAAAGAAATTACTGCTGAAAAAAATCAGTTTTTTTTTAAATTTGTTTAGGATAGCCGTTGTTTTTTGTAAATTTTTTTTTGTAAAAAGTTGTCATCAACAATGAACATTATCCTGTTTTTCATACCTAGTACAGTATTATATTTTTGAAGGGTGGTATGATTTGAATAGTAATTTATATAACTGCGTGATGCTGTCGGCTTTTGGTACCAATCCACTGTCAAAATATTGTCATTTGTTCTTATTAGCCTTGTGTCTGAAAACGGTATACTAAATTTTTTCTGTTTCAATTGTGAACTGAAGATGATTTTTAAGTTGCAAGGATTGGACTAATCGGGGAACCCATCGGTGTTCTAAAGAAGAATTTGCAGAAAATTTTCTTTTGTCTTTTGATAATGTCGTGCACTCTTTTATAAGGTTCAAATTGGATTCAGTAATGTCTATGACCATATTTAGTGGAATGTTTGTAAATAACGACACCACATCTAAAGAAATTAAAACATAATCATTTGGTAGCCATTCTCCTACCAGCATTGACCAAGGTAAATGTGTCCTTAGAATCAAACATCACACAACATAAAAGTGATTGCCGCTTGGGAAAAATACTTGTGCAGTAGTTCAGCTCTGAAAACACCGGTCATATGCTTGATTATAACAAAGCTCACATTTTGGCACAACTGATAACTATAAAAGTAAATTATTTATTGAGATGTATCACATTAACATCTGATATGTTAATACCAATGACCCATACTTAAAAACATAATCATTCAAAACGAAAGAATGAATAGTTAAATACAGAGCTTCCAGTTAAAAAATATGTTACTTTATATTTATATAGTAAGATTGAGTTTCGGGCACCCTCTTTATATTTAAGCAATTTTGTATTGTAGTCGATAAGGCGATACAATAAAAATAACATACCTGCTTCTTAAGTTATCTTCACTGTTTGCATCATCGCTGTCACTTGACGAGCTAATCAAATGTCGTATGGTAGTTAGTTTTTTCACTTCTGGGCGGCGACGCTTTTTTGGTGGTATAGTCTTTTTAATGTTGGACAAATTTTCAATATCACATAACCTAAAATCGGTGTGCAAATTATATACCTTAAAATTAAAAAATAAAACCAAGTATCATATTTAACATGAAACAAAAAATGCTGTGTAACTACATTTAGACAATATCCATGAAATGACATATTTTCATTATTCGAATTTGAATTATACTATAAATCCTCAATTTAGAATAGTGATTTCATCGTCTAAACGCCGAATATCATCAAATTTAAATGTACATAGCGGCCCTCGAAAACTAACCGTTTTCTCAATTGCAATTTGCGTTTTCTCATAAGAAATTACAGAATATATAAGTAGTATATTTATTCCTGCTTCTCCATAGAAGACTTGACCAGGAGTTGTCGTAGTTGTCGAGTTGTCAGTGTAGCCAATTCTTGTTCACAAGTAGTAATTATGGTCATACCATGATACTAAGACTTCCAAGATAAACCCACTTCGCAATCGAATTTTGTACATCGACGCGCATGACGTCAATTGGTGATAAAAGTCACTTTTATCACCAACCTTTTATAATCACAGTCGGTAAAACATATATGGAAAGAGAGGGTTTTTATTTAAATATTTAGAATATTAAGGGAAAACGGTAAAATATCTGCAATTAAATCTTAAAAATATGTTATATATCTCTGTTAGCCTAGCAATGTAAACTAAAATTATATAAAAAAGTCTAAGTCTAAGAACTAAACATCCTTTTGCAAATGGAAATTTATATACAATGGATTGATTTATTAAAATAAAAATTTAATACAACTGATAAAATAAAATACACTGTAATAATTTACAAGTTTATTTAACAATTTATTTTACAATTTTTAATATTTTCTTTTCTTAACTTTTTATGTTTCTTTAATATATCTATTCAATTTTCTAATTTTAAAATATAATTTTACACCTTTACTAACATTACATCTTCTTCTTCTTCGGGTTCCTTCTCCTAGCGGAGGTTGGAAATCATCATCGCTATTTTAACTTTGTTGGCCGCATTTCTGAATAATTCCACATCTGAACAAACATTACATCTGAACACAGCTAAATCCATTAGCGATTTTAAATAATTCTTAGTTAATTTTTAATGACCCTTTGTTAAAATTGTTAAAAATATGGTCCAGTTCATTACATTTAATTAGAAAATCTGGACATGGTTTAAGTAAACCTCCTTCGGAAAGATGGTTTACCCAGTAAACCGATGTCAACGTACAAGATAAACGATAAAACAAAACTAAATCTCAAGGTTAGTAGATATTTACAAGTAAGTAGATACTTAAATATCTACTAACCTTGACTAAATCTGACAAAACTCCATACAACACAGAACATTTCTGGTGACATTTGTCGCCAAGTGACGTCACACGACTGATCGCGTGCGCGTGGGTTTATCTGTAGTTTATAGTATCATGTGGTCATACAAAACCTGTATTCTTCCACACAGCGATTATTACCGTCATAAATATACCAAAAAAACATGATTTTTTCAATAGTAAAAAACTTAAGTACAAATTTGTAATGAAATAAATTTTATTTATATGTTCCGTTTCGTTACATATTTAACTTTATAAAATAAAAATCGATATTTTAAAACATTATTTTTCAATCGTTTGGAATTAGCGACGTAACGAATTAGCGAAGGTAGTGCATTTGTTGCATTTTGTGAATATATTTTATGTGATAAGTTTGTGTTATTGATAAAACGTGTTATTGATAATACGAGTGTTATAGTTTGTCGTTTTATAGTAAATTTTTAGTTATATTCTGTGATTATTTGATTTGAGTTTTATTGTAGTTTTGCTTTATAGTGAATTTTTAGTTATATTCTGTGGTTATTGAAATACAATGGACGAAAAACCAAGTTGTTCCAAGAGAAGACTGCAAAATTCTAATGTTTATTCCAAAATGAAAAGCCGAAAAGGAACGGAAAATGTTAATGTCCGAAGAGAAGGTAATGATACAAAACGTTTATGAAGTCGGCATAAAAATGCCATTAAATGTTAGCCAAGCGGTCGACATTTGTAGCAGTTTAACAAAAGTATCTGTTACTTAAAAATACATCGTAAAATAAAAAGCAAGAAAAAGGTAAAACTAGAGGTAGGAAAAGCATAGTTTTGGATGACGAGACAAGGAATTATTATACGTCGAAAAATTCATTTATTTTATTTTCGGAGTGAAATTCCAACACTGAAAAAAAATTTCCCAAGAGCTCGAAAACGATGACTCCTTACCCAAGATATTTCGTAGAGTATTAATCAGGACCATACACGAAATGAACTTTCGATATGTAAAACGAAACAGAAAAAGTATGCTATTAGAAAAAAATGAAATTATTGTGTGGAGAAGAAAATATTTAGAATACGCAAAATTCGCAGCACTGGACGCAAAATATATTATTTGGATGAAACCTGGATTAACGAAGGTCATAAAATTGGACAAGTTTGGCAAGATTTAAATGTCAAAAATAAACGCGAAGCATTTATAGAAGGCTGGTCTATAGGATTAAAAGCTCCATCAGGAAAGGGACGGCGTTTAACCATTACCCATATAGGAAGTGATACAGGGTTCCTTGATGATGGTTTGCTTCAATTCGAGTCGAAAAAAATAGGTGATTATCATGAAGAAATGACTTCCGAAGTATTTGAGCGCTGGTTTAAGAGAATCTTAGCAAAATTGGAACCTGGGTCTGTGGTTGTTATGGACAATGCGCCATATCATAGCCGCAGACTAGAACAATTGCCGACGACGGCATGGCGGAAAGGAAGAATTCAAAAATAGCTTACAGAAAAGCGGATTGCATACGAAGAATCAATGCTCAAAATTCAGCTACTTGACATTGCACGGTTAAGGAAAAGTGAATATCTTTAATATGCTGTGGATGAAACTGCAAAAGATTATGGTGTCAAAATTCTCCGTCTACCAGCCTATCATTGCGAACTTAATCCTATTGAACCTATCTGGGAGCAAGGAGAAGTAGGAGTGCGTTTTGATCTCTATAAAGAGACCGTTTTCAAACATATAAATGACAGATATATTTATTTTTCTATAGCTTTTTGTTTGTGGCATTCTGTATTTTTGGGGAGAAGGTTGGAAATAAGCCACAATATATCTATTTACATGTTTAATGCACTGACGTTTCGATCTCTATTGCAGAGACCGTTTTTAAAGATAGAAAAAAAAAAAACAGAAAATAAATAATATAAGATTATAAAAATATATAATAATAAACAAATAAAATTAAATATAACTATCATTTATATCTTTGAAAGCGGTCTTTGGATATAGAGATCGAAACGTCAGTAAAAACTTGTAAATAAATATATTGTGGCCTATTTCGAACAATAATATTTGAAACATATAATATAATTAACGTTAAAATAAAAGTGAGTATACGCCACTGGATTTTCATACGTCTTTCCCCACTTCACCGCCTTTAAACGATGAATCACTTTTCCAAATAGTGGAATTATAGTATAGCTAGATATAACCACCTCTAACAAATTTTTTAGTCTATCCTTACTTCTTCTTTTAGGCGTTTTAAACCTAACCGATTCTTCTTCGTGTTGGATAATTATCGTTCTGGCGTTAAACGTGCGCTAACCATCTTGATTTACGTTTCTTTATTTTGGTTTTAATTAGTACCATAAATAGACTTTTCCTAATAAATTCCTTCTAATGCTATCCTTTTTTGTTACTTCACAAGTTGAGTTCCGGTTTAATTTTTAGTGGGTCAACATTCAGTACTAACTTTGATTAGATTAGGTAGATTGAGTAGATCACGATCGTACTAGATAAAGGAGTAGACCAGGGCGGATCTGTTTTGAGGTGGATGTGAGAGGTGGCATTCGGATTTTTGCAGAAATAGATAGGTAATAATAATTGACTTATCTCCCTTTCCAGTCGGAAACATTAATAAAAGTATTAAAATATTTAAAAATTACGAAAAATATAGATTTTTTATAACTTTAAAACAATTCACTTTGGAGCAAAGTTATACTAAAATAAAATAGCGACAATAGATCACATGCATGTAGGTGGCACTGTCGTCAGGGTTTGGTATTAAAACGTAACCTTAATTTATTCTGCCATTTATTTACATTGTTTGGTCCTCGTTTCCTAGTTGGTATGCAATTTTGTCAGTGATTTAAGTTTCAATAAGTTATTTATGGCATTTTAATTGTTTGGACACTTTTACTAAAACTTTACAGTATCACTGAATAAGAATTACAAGGTTATATCATACAAAATGTAGAAACTGAGAATAATGACTTTGAATATTTTGACCATTAGATTTGGTATACACGAAAGTATATTTGCTTTTGTTTTAAACATAATAAATAAAGGTCTCCTACAAAAGCACATTTAAAAAAAAAAAGAATAAAAAATTATTAAATTATAAATTATTAAAAAAATAAAATAACATAGAACTTCGTGACTCTAATGATGTGGGTATTTCGTCATTTTCAGCAGTATATCTCCTCGCATTCCGATGTCTTAATTTGATAATTTTGTACTCACGTTCGTTAAAAGTGGTTCGGAAGCCGATGTCATAAAAATCTGTAGTAAATTGTAAAGAAACCAACTTTGAAAATGGAGCTGCAGTATAATTCATTTTTGATCAATAGGTTGAAAAATCCAGAATATCTTTCTCTTTTATTTGAAGTATGGTGTAAGGCTTTCTTGTGTTTATTTTCAAACAGACTTTTAATAACGAAAGGGAAGAAAAGTATTCAGATTTTCTCAAACTGCGTTCAATTGCACTGTGAACTGAATCAACCTCTTGTATGTAGGAATGTCCAGGTACTGAAAACTTCATTTGAATTTTCTCTAAGTTCGTATTAGTTTTTAAAATATGTGCAATAGCAAAACTCATCAATTTATATCGATTTTGCGGAATGCAACTATCGCTCCACAAAGTCAAATCCTCCAATAACGGATAGTCTTCTACAATCCTTTTCAGGATTCTGTATACAACACTGGCAATATCATTCCCAACACGGTCTTGCATTACCTCTGATC